ATTGAAGCAGGAATGCACTATTTTTGGGGGGGGGAAGGTCACCAAATTTGTTTTGGTGCATTTGGTGCATTGCAGTTTTGCAGTTGCTGCATTGGTGGGTGATGGGATTGAAAATATCAGGCTTCACATCAAAAACGTCTACCCATCCCTGGACAGAAACAGTCATGTGCATGTTGTGCCCCTGCTAAGACAGCCTGAGAGCTGTGCTGAACTCCAGGCAATGCTTCCCAAAAAAGGGCCAAGGGAGACATTGCTAATAAGGGGTCAGTAACCCCACTGTCTCCCAGGAAGATGACCTTGGCAAGGCATGAAAAAAAAAATGCTTTTTTTCTTCTAAAGACTTTAAAAATGCCCCTTGTTTGTGCAAAATACAACTCCACCCTGGCTCTGGGGAGTCGTTCTGTTGCTACAACAACTAATGCTACAAAAGTAATAAGTCTGAGTGGGATTTTTCCAAGGGTCTGATTTGCATTAAGCTGCTAAAAGCAATACAGTCTTGGCCCGAGTGGAGAACTTGTGAAAAAGAAGTCAAAATGGTCCTCGCGCTGTGCCTTCTGCAGGGCTCAGGCAATTTCTACCTGCAGGGGTACAGCGCCTCGAAGCTCTACGCTGGACAAATGCATGGCTCCTGCTCATGACCTCCAACCCTCTAACTTTTTCTATTCTTTATTTCTTAATGGGTATGGTCTTAATGCATGTGCCTTCAGCCAAAAAGCATAAATGCGAATGACAAGCAAGAGCAAAGGACAAAGGTGGTAGCACCCAGCAGAAGGCTCACTTTGGGAGCCTGGTGGAGCATTGCACTGATGAAGGCGCTTTGGTGCTGTCAGTGAAGATGAGTATAACCAGAGAGTCCTTTGCAGTGTCAAACACTGGGTAGGAATGGTGGCTTCTTGCTCCAGGATGCAGAGAATTATTTAAAATATCTAGGAAACATATTCCACAGCATCATGTAGCCACACCAGCCTTATGTGGGCAAAGATGGAAGAACCCAAGGCTGAGAAGCATGCTGGCTATCATCTTCCCCCACCCTGACATTATGCACAGATGTCCTTTTTAACAAGCAAAAGATGCCCCATAAAAGCCAAGAATAAGTTTGATACCTACCGATAGGTCTGTACGGCTGCGAGCTGGAGCCTGGGGCCAGCCGGCGACTTAGTCACCACAAGACACAAATCAGGGCCGACCTTTCCCAGCCCCAGGAGGCTGCTGTGAGAGGACACGTTATCAGATCCCCATGGCGGCACCTTGAAAACGAAACCGGTTGTGATCTCTGGCGACGGCGCTCACCTCCGCTACCCCTTCAAGGGGCATCAGCGAGCTCTCCACGAGGAATTCCCGGCTAGACCAGGCGGGTCAGCCTGTTCGGTATTGCCTGAACATGGTGCATCCCTAGTCCCTGGAGGAGCCAACAATCCCCAACGACAGCAACCCAAATCTCTACGAGAGCAGTTGCCTCGCTACAAGGTTTATTTAGCCTATCAGATAGTCAAAGCCAGGTGCTGGGCACATGGACCTCTAAACTGGGCTGTAGAGGATGCAGGGTTGGATGTAGGGCCCCTTGGATCCTCCAGTAGGTGACAAAGGATTGGAAACACCTTCAAATGCATTTGGCTTGGAAGAGCCTCACTGTTGTTCTTTCAGTAAGTTTCACTTGCCTTAGTTATTAAAAAAACCCAACGCCACAGGGAGGTATATGGTTCTCCGTTGGGAGGATGGCAGATCCGTCAGGATCTCTGCAGGACCCCCTAGGATATCCTAGAGGCAACGCGGGCTGCAGTTAGAGGACAAATCTGTCTTAAACAGACAACTTCCAGGCTGCTTCTAGAAAGTAGTTTTGGTGCCAAATCGCAAAGCCGAAGCACCAACGTAGGACGTATCTGGAGTCCGCGAGTACCTCAGCTCCAGCCGATAACATCCCAGCACTATTTAAAGGCGTAACCGCACAGTGCTGCGAGCACCCAGGTGGCAGCTGCCCCAGGGTACCCACGTGCTCCCATCATGACCCCCTGTGACAACCAGCTAAGAGAGAGTATATTTTGCACCCTGAAGGCACCTCATCTACCTTTCCAAATCCAAACACATAAGCAGTGCAAGAAGAATTTGCGTCGACCCAAGGAGACAAGGATTCGGTCACAAATCACTGCTTTTCACTGGGCGACGGACAGGGGAGACACGTCCTCGTGCGCTGGCGTGCCGCTCCCGTCCAGAAAGAGGCGGAAACAATTTACCAAAAGCGAAGGGCTTCACCCCAAACTGGCTGATTTTGCTGGGGAGGCTTTAGGCACCGACTTTGGTGGGGGTTGCTGCCTCGCAGGGCTTCAGCAAACCTCCGCCGGGGGCGGGAAGCCGAGGAACGACGGGGGACGGGGTAAACGGCGACAAGGCGCGCGCCGTACCGAGTCACTTCCGCGCGGCACAGGTATATAGTTAGCAATGCAGTTCGTTTTATTAGTTATAAATAAAGTACAAAAAATCCACCAAAAGTGAATCTAAGCATTTACACAATTTCTAACGTCTTTTTCGTTTCCTCGATGCGCTATTGCTTTAATATTAATAATAAATAATTTTCTAGCTTTCTTCTATAAAATAGTCTATGTAGCAAAATGTTGCACAGCACAACAGAACAGCAGTAGGAGTACAAAAGTGTGGGTGATCCTTCCACTAGCCCGTGCCATCAAAGGGGAGGATTTTTTGTTTGCTCGCTCCTTGTTTTATGTATCCCTTTCACGGTGTCTTTGCAGGGATGGGGAGGGGGACAGCAACCGACCCGTGTCCCTGCACAGCTCGAACCAAAGCTCCGGGCTACAGGGGAGGAGCGTTGGCAAGCAGCAAGGAAAAACACGGACGGGTTTTTAGCACGGGGTAAGACAAAGCAGAGCAGCACCCTGAAGGGATGAAGAGGAAAAAAAAATTAAAGGTTTAGGCACATGGTGCCCTCCTAAAACCACTTTC